AAAAAAAAAAAAAAGGGTGGTTCTGGCCAGGATGGTCTCTCTCCCTAACACATCCCACCTGTGTGGGAAAGAGAACCAGAGACTCTTAAGGGAAAAGAATGAAGAAAGAATGGAAATGGGCAAAGTCGAAGACAAATTAGAAGAGCTGCAATTTAAAACAGGTGTATGAGAAGGAGTACAGGCTGATTCATAATTAATGTCCCTGGATCTAGGCAAGTAACTGCTCCACAAGGGCAGAGGCTGCTTGTGAACAGACCGCTGGCTAGCCCCCGCGCCCTGCAGGTTTTGTCTCCGTCACCATGTAAAGCTCACCAGGTCTGCAACTGTGTCACCAAACCATGATGAACTGAGAAAAATAAGGACATATGCTGACTTTTTCATAACGCTAAATTTATTCCATTTAAAGGAGTGCCTTATATTCTGAGATTGCATCCTTCCTTTTTTGAGTCCTAAAACGTTTCTTTTATGAAACAGCAGCTAAAGTAGATGATAATTGATATTATTTATGTGCTTTCTTGGCGAACTTAAAATATCGATCACTCTATATTCAGCTCTCCTTTTGATTTTGGTTTTGCACCTTATTTGTGAAACCCAAATGTCCATTAATCTCCTACCTAGAAAATATATGCTAAATGTTTACCAATCTCTCTGGAACAAATCTCAATTAACATACCTTTCAAGAAGAAGCCTTAACAAAATCTTACTTTTCATTCTTAATAGTGTTCTTCATAAAAATGTTCTGCAAGTATATCAAGTTAGTCATAACAACTACTGTTCAGTGCTTAATGAAACACTTCTTCATAACCTCTGACAATTTGACAGGAGTGAATTTAATAATAGCAATAAATACAGATGGGACTACATAAATCAAGGAAGTCCTGATGCAAAACTCTTGCTGTGTTAGATGGCATCTCAGCTTTCTCATCTGAAATGAACCAAGAAATCAATTATAACAATGATCATAACAATATGAAAAAAATTCAAAACAAGAGTCATGCCCTTGGAAGGAATGCCTTTGTTCTTTTAACCCACTGCTTACTTCTCCAATGCTGGAGCCGACAGACTAGGCATTATTTAGAATGGGGACTATGGCTTCTGACCTTGTTGTGAGGGAGAATGTAGCATGGCTTCCCCCAGGATAGGCCCTCTCAGTCATTTACATCACGTGGCAGTACAATGAAGGTGCGGCTTAAGCATTAGCCCAAAACTTCCTAAATGGAGAGCAGGCTTAAGACCAATGGTACTCTCCTGTTCTAGAAAACCTTCCAACCTAGCCTTGCCTGTCTTCCTGTGAAGTGGAGGCAGATTCTCCTCCACCCTCCATTCTTGTCAGAACCTTCTTCTCTTCACCTTCCAGCACCTCCCATCTCAGGAGGAGTTTGCCTAGGATGGCCTTTATGTTGCACACCACTGTTACCCATCTGCTTATGGGAAATCATTGGCCCCAGCCCAGAGTACTTACAAAGCTGTTTCTCTTTGAGGATCTTCATCCTTTATGCAGAGCTAAAAGCAAACACAAGGGCAATGAGTTTGCATGCTTTTCTAAGGCAGATAAACATTTTGAATGCATCAAGGTGGTTCAGGGGATAGGAAACCCAAATGTCTGTTAATCTCCTACCTAGAAAAATATGCATCAATACAGAGATGCCTGGAAATACAGACACCACTGCACTAGTCCAGATCTTGTGTTTTGGCCATGTTAATCATTTCTGTATTGAACCTACAGAGATATAATCCTTGAATCAGAATGCTTCCAGGATTCTTAGGTAGTTGATTCTCTTTCTTTCTTTCTTTCTTTCTTTCTTTCTTTCTTT